GACGGTGGCTATTGGTAAGGAATTGTGCTTGTGTACCAGTTTTGTATAAAGTAGCGGTCAAAAGTGTTTGCCGAATCAATTTTTAGTGCATTATTTTTTTCCGTTAGAGCAGCACCCTACACAGATTGATGTACTATGTTCTCCAGTGTTTTACATCCTCATGTCTTGAAAAATCAGGATATTCAAATGAAAAAATTTTCGAGATCACCACTGATTTTTTTTGGCAAAAAATGAGGAGCATGAAAAACTGTTTCGGCGAACACTTTTGACCGCTACTTTATACAAAACTGGTACACAAGCACAATTCCTTACCAATATTCACCGTCAGAGACCTGCGCCACGTTCACAGGTCCCGACTACGTACAAAGGACTTTTTTATCTGCTGATCGGTTTACTTCGACTGCAAGGCCCTTCGTAACAAAAAAGAGCTATGAGACAACTTTCGTGAATTCACTTTCATCCCTTTGTCATATTTTCGTTAATTAACTGGAAATAAATCATCTTGAATCAGTTTCAAACTGAAACAAACAGGAATTCGTAATAATATCTCGTCTCTTCTCTGGAAAATTCATGCCAACAAAGTTGGCATAAGTAATAACACATACCTATTCCCCATGAGTTATCCTCGTGAACGATCTCCTCCTCTTGAGTAGCAACGGGTACCTCGACAGTGGCTTCAGACGCCTTCTTCGCCTAGAACATTATTGCATGAAATCCAACAGCTTAATAGTTTGGTAGATAGTTTCTTAATAGTTTTAATAGTACCCGTTCCAACTTGACCAGTTTTCGCTTCAATCATTAACCTGACATGATAGAATTTCAATATTTGCCATTAGCTCTGTCTGAGCAACTTCTATGACGACGAAGGTGCCGTTCTTTACGATCCCAGTCCATCTACGCAATCTGTGGGAGTTTCTTCCACAGACTTGGCGACCTTTTCTTTGAAAACCAAATCGGGACTTTAGCGTACACCCCAACTCTTCAAGCGCAACATTCCAAGATGTATGTCCCAGAAACTGTGCACTTAGTCAGACACGCTCCAGCGAGCCGCAAAATGAATAGACAGACACGCCAATCATCGGCTCATATAATCCGAGACGGAAGAAACTAGGATGACGTTTTTCTGACCTGATACTCCTTTTGCCGTTGCCTGCAGAACCGATCGTCACACTGATCATTCGGTCTCATTTCTTGTCGAGGGAAAAAGTCCACAAGCGCATTATATCCCACGTACATCGACACTTCACCGAAATTTAAAAGGTACCTAAACGAGACAAATAAACAAATGGTAAAGAAAATTGAAAAAAATAAGAGATGGAGAAACCAGTAATGTTGTAAGATTTGAAATAAAGAAGAAGTGAGATAAGAAAACCTCATACTTTAGAGTGTTTTGCACGAGAAAACCAGCTACCACTGCCATTGTCGTCGGCAATGATGCAGCACAAACACCTTCTCGCTTTAACGTTCTCTCGTCGATATTAGAAGCAACGACTAGCGGCGGCACACACTGAAGAGCTGTGGATTTATTCAGAGGTGAACCAAGTACTGGTAAATAATAGGTGCAAAATATAAGGAGATTTGGATCATAATGAATTCGACACGATACTGGAACTGAATCGCCAAAAAACAAATCATGAACTCACAGCGAAACAAGCAGTTCTACCAGGTTCTATATACTGAATGTGCCCGGACACGGCATTTTCGCTTACGCCAGACTCCATCCACACCTGATTTTCTTCGTTACAAGCCTGAAACATTGTTTCGTTCATAGTGATGAAGCACTGCTCTACCAGGTGAACGGCTTAGCTTTGGCCCAAAGCCTACCACAGAGCCAAAAACTGCAATAATTGTACTGTAAATTGTAACCCACCGTGTTCACGGTCATCCGCGCTTCGAAGTTATCCACGCAGCTTAACACGAGATCTACCTTCCCACCTGTTAAAGATCCATGTCTGAAATGAGTCGTAAAAATTTATATTAACACACTTACGACACTAGTGGTGGGCGCATCCTTTTTTACAATCTTTCATCTTTGTTACTCAATAAAAACTTTGATATTGGTAATAAGTGTACTATTTGCCGTAGCCAATGATACGTACGGTCAGTATCGGAACATGAAAGTGGAAGCACAATCTAATATAAAATGTCCTACATGTGAAAGTATGTATGTATCCCGCACCTCATCAATGTGTTAAGTAACCAAATGTTAAGGAACCATCCAAAAAGCAGGCAACGTCGAACTGACCGTATTCTGTCCACAAATTTATTGAAGTTCTCCACCGTGGTAATATTATAATTATGCGTTTCAATCGTCACATCTGGGTTGATATGCCTGAAAATTTCTCGGCTACGATGCGGTTGCTCAAGGAAAAGATTGTTCCAGCAATAGCGCCCATTTGGGCACACAAACATGAACTATAATGATATAAGATTTCCTTGAGTATAAGCTTCCTGGGGAATCGACCACAGTATCAAATGTTCAACAACAGATATCCGTTGCACTACAACCTGGGGGAAGGGGGGGGGGTGGGTTGGTTGAGACAGATTGAGATGAAAATGGGGAGAAAGGAAAATAAGAGAATACGAGAAGATCGTGCGGGGATCACCACTTTTAGCACTGGCAGCGGCTTCCGAAGAAAATAAGTGTTTGGGGAATGGTTTTTAAAAAAGCATCAAAACCATGGCCAGCAGATGGAAAACTGGCCTGAAGCAATGCGCACTACATCCCGTGAGGCACAACTCAACACAGGCAGAATTTTCACGAATACCACGTTTTTAAAGCGCCACATGGTGCTACTTAGCACGCCCCAAGACTTCTCGCCGAGCGATACGTCGGCACTGACGATTTCCAGCTGCTTTTTTGGCTTTTCATTGCTCTCAAGTGACTTCTAATATCCTACTTACTATAAAGCGCTTCGTCTGTCGTGTGTCGTGTGTCGTGTGTCGTGTCGTGTGTCGTGTGTCGTTCTGTATGTCTGTCACGAAATTCCCTAGCTCCTCGGGATCCACCTGGAGGGACCGGGTCAAGTGTGGGATGGGTGGGCAGGGTCTCACGTAATACAAAACACACATCAGCTAAGCGGAGCCCCGCCCACAGAGGGCGTGGCGTGCGTCGAAATGAATTGTACCAAAGACCAAGATTTCGATTTCAGTGACAAAACGACCTCGAAACTGGGCCAAAAAGTGGGTAAAGGTGTGCATTGGTAAGTCACATCGAATTAGGGAGACCCACCCCCGGTGGGCGGGGCGTTCTCTAAAAAAGCAGTGCTTTATGAAAAATTTCATAACTCGGTTGGGAGAAAGCCTACAGAGCAGAAAACAATTTGGTGTAAGGGGAGCAATGTCTAAGGTGTTTCCTGCATACATGACGTGGGCGGAGGCCCGCCCAGAATGGGCGGGGCGCGCTCTGAAGTGTACAGCATTTTCTACAAGCCCTCATAATTCGGGTCGGGGAAGTCTTAAAGAGCCGGAAAAAGGTGGATAGAGGTGTATGGAGGAGTGGAGGCCAGCTGTCAATGGGTGGGCGGGGCTTGACCAAAGTGGGCGGAGTTTGCGACGAAAATTCATATAACTCGGCTCCATGAAGCTCCGGAGGCTGGGGAAAAGGTGGATAGAGGTGGGTGGAGGAGTGGAGGTTAATTGTCATCGGTGGGCGGGGCTTGACCCAAAGTGGGCGGAGTTTGCGACGGAAATTCATAGCTTGGCTCCAAGAAGTCCCGGAGGCACGGAAAAAGGTGGGTAGAGGTGGGTGGAGGAGTGGAAACTTAAATACCATTAGTGGGCGGAGCATGGCCAAAGTGGGCGGAGTTACCCAGGAAAATTCATAACTTGGTTCCAAGAAGTCCTGGAGAACGGGAAAAAAGTGGATATAGGTCAGCAAAGAAAGAGAAGTTAACTGCTACGGTTGGGTGGAGCGTGCGCTAATGTGGGCGGAGTTTGCGCCGAAATTGTAATTCGGCTCCAAGAAGTCCCGGAGGCAGGGAAAAAGGTGGATGGAGGTGGGTGGAGGAGTGGAGCCCAGCTATCACCGGTGAGCGGGGCTTGACCAAAGTGGGCGGAGTTTGCGACGAAAATTCATAACTCGGCTGCAAGAAGTCCTAGAGATAGGGAAAACGGGGTTAGAGGTTGGCGAGGGAAAAGAGATCAGCTGCTTCCAAGAGGTCCCAGAGACCGGTGAAAAAAGGGGTAGAGGTCGGCGAAAGGAAGGGGGCCAAATGCTATTGGTGGGCGGAGCACGCACCGAAGTAGGCGGAGTTTGCCACGAGATTTATTGTCCGGAAGCAGTCCGGAGACCGGAAAAAGAGATAATGGTTGACGAAGAAAAAGAGGTTGAAAGCCGTCGATGATGGAGCGGATAGAATTTAGCTGAGAATTCAGATATTCGTGGTGTATCAAGCCAAATTTGAAAATTTTCGTCGCACCATCAAAATTCGCCGCAGATCTGTGTTGCGCGCGCAATGCGTGCGGCGCCAACTGGTTTAGACCAATAAAGAAGCGCGGTCTATGGCCGAGCCGACTACGGCAGGTCAGGAAAGGTATTACAATGGAGATACTCGCGAATAATTTTAATATGTAGGCTATGGGCCGGATTGCTTTTACAATGCACGTGTTGATAATACCAGATCATCCCGCCTCGAGTCTCGTCGTTGCATTTCACTCGAAACGCACGGTTTGTGCGTGTTCCAATGCACCCTAGTAGAATTCACCTCTATTCAGCACTTCTCAACGCCCTTTATATTCCATACTTGATAGTTAGTGTCCTACACAAAAAATCAATGCAAAATACAGGTGCTGCTGGCAGACGTGGCTAGCCGCTCTATGTCTACAACATGCGTGCAAATTGTCTTCGATTCCCATTAGATAAATAATTTGGGACATTCATGAAAGGTTCAGAACTTAAAACCACTCCAATCTGTAACGTACAAAAACTCCGTATTGTCAACAGCGGAATAAGACAACTTCAGGGACCGTCATGAGGGGATGAGGTGGAGCAAAATTTTATGCAGCATATGTGTGCGCGTGAAAGGTAAAGTTGTTCAAGGTTTAAAGTCCTATCACTACTAAAAAATTAAAAAAGGAGATTCAACCATTGAAGAATTGAAAGAGATGAAGTACAAGATCTTAGAAACTATCGAAACGAGCAACTATATACAAAGTAAGGAAGTAATAAGGATTAATCGGTCGTGAACAAGCAAAGAGTCAACAGAGACAAACCAAGAAAAGGAAAAGGACAGTTGAAATAAGCAGTGAATAAATGTGGTAAACCTACTCACACAAGAGTTATCCTTTGCCGCTTCAACTTTACTGAGTCCGGATTGATGAGGTTGATAAAACAGTCGATTCATATTTGCTAGCTCCACTTTGTCATAGTCAAACAGGAGAAGCTTTCCAATAGCGCATCTTGTGAGCATTTCGGCCACTACGCTACCCACACCTGCACCAAAAGTATCATAATGAATACAGAAAAGATATACGTTGTAAAAGAACTGAAATGCATATGAAATGGAAAAACTACCTCCAACTCCAACAACAGCTACAGTCTTCTCCCTAATCTTTTCGTAATCCTTAACTATGCCCATCCTTTTCAATGCCATTAGCCGGCTATACGGATTGGAATCAACAACCTTAACATATTCACTATGCATCTTGAGCCATGGATTTGAGCAATTCGCCATTTTGAAGACAACTTCAGTTGTATCAAATCACCTCAGCACTCATTTTTTCAATTTTCTGCCGGGATTGAACTGCCGTAGGGTGATCCAAGCTCCTCGATTCAACTTTGTACGAGCTCAATTCGGTGGTTAGAGCTCGTACCTTCTCCCGTAATTCTTCTATAGTATTATGGATATCTGACATCTGAAATAACAACCGCATTTAGGCGCAATGTATCTATCGCCGTTCAGATGGGCTAGTAGGTAGGAAGGCCACTAGGACTAAATCTAACGGAGAGGAACGAACCCCGAAGAGATTGAGAATTGCTCACGCACGTCGGAGCCCCTCTCCTCTTCTTAGACTTAATGCCGAGTGCCATCCCATAGACTTTATTGCGCCCAATTCTAGCCTTTTGGAGAAATATTCATGGCAATACTGTACTACACAAAGTAAACACATTGAAAACGACCCAAAACGCAACGGAGTGAAAAAATCACAATACGTAATTGAATGGATGCTGAGAGTTATCCCCAACGTACATCGAAAAACATTATATACGAGTTCTATGTACGTGAAAAGTCTCAGTGGCATCGCGTGCCGTGGATTAATTGGTATGGGGCAATTCACGTACGCCACTTTCTACTTGACGGTAGTAAACACCGTCCACCACTTTGAAGGTCGCAGGGGAGTGCCGTTTTTGGATTGTGCCACTATTTGTTGTACCTTTTCAAGCCGTGGAGTAGAACTTGGTGGTTTCGTTGTGACAAGAATGAACTTTCAAAAAAAGATATCTAAAGGTAGGGAGAGGGTCACTGACTGCACACTGAGAGCAGAGCTAACCGAATCTATGCGAATCGAAGGGTAGCGGGTGTTAACTTAGTTGGGGGGAGGCACGCGGCGGCGCGGCAGTCGGTGCTATACAAGTGGGGTGGGCACGCCCAGCTTTTCACGCATGTCAAGTGACTGCCCTCACCCCCACCCCCTAGATTGGCTACACTCCCCCTGGCTCACGAATTCCCCGATTCTCGTGACAGTATAGTAGCGGGCAGCAGTCCCACTTACATACATTTCTGTTCAAAAAATGCGGCGTGCCCACCCTACTTGTATAGCACCCACTGCCGCGCCGCC